CTTTACATTAAACCTGACTCATAGTGGATAAATCTGCTGCCACAGGACTAAAAGCCCTCCTGGAGGTTCTCTAACACTCTCTTCTGCCCCTACCGGTCCCATAGCTGGTGTCCTTGTAGTGCTCCAGGTCGGAGGCCTGGGACGACAGCCTGGAGCACAGCCGGTGCTTCTTGTGGATGCAGAAGAGAACCGGAGCTCTTTCCAGCACCAGATACTTGACCCAGTGGGGCACGGGAGGCTGCAGGTCCTGCTTGTGGACCAGACGCACGATCAGCACCGTTTCGGTCAGGCTGATGACCAGGAGGGCCATGCAGACCACGAAGTACACACCTGCAGCACAGGTAGGAGGAGACGGAGCAGCATGAACATCCCTCACCAGTCAGCAGCCTTTGCAACACACATAAGATAATGTTCCTGCAACAAATTTTAAGCTCTGGTGTCGACACTTGTTGGAGAATCAAGATCTAAACGCTGATGAGCACCGCTGATCCCAGTCACCTATCAGAGGAGTTCCTATGGCGGTGGCGGGCAGCGTGTCGGACACGATGATGAGGAAGACCGAGTAGCCGAGCAGCAGCGTGATCTTGAAGGAGACTCTCTCTCCGCTGTCCGGAGGCAGGTAGAAGCCCACGATGTCCATCACCATCAGGAAGATGCTGGGCAGCAGCAGGTTCACGGTGTAGAAGAGCGGCCGGCGCCGGATCACCACCTGGGACATGTGGTTCTTAGTCAACGTGTGACAGTACAGCTGTCGCTAATTAACAAGTTCTGTCTTGTTAGTTCAGTCAGAAATGTTAAAACGGCTTTTTATCGCTCCACATATGCTCAAAGTGAAGAAGGTGTTCTGTCCTGGAAGTACGACCACAAAGAAATGCGAAAGATGCAAAAGATAAAACAGTGACAACAAAAGAAAAGAAAGACAGAACATTTTTTAAAAATAATAATAAGAAGAAGAAGAAGAAGAAGAAGATTGTAAAAAAAAAATAAAATAAAAATAATTAAAGATGATATTCCAGGAAACTAAACTAAAAATGATGGGGAGAAAAAAAACTATAAACAAAATAATAGTAGTTTCTAGCATTAA